ATGTTAGTTTGTTGCAATTTACTTAAATGGGGTTGGGGTCTCAGCGAAAGGACAGGGGCGTTAGGGAGTTTGCTTTGGTTGACTTTTATGTTCTTCAAGGTAAATGATGTCAGTGTCAAAAATGAATATACATTTTCTGATGAAGGGACACATTGACCTGAAATGTTGACTGTCTTTCTCTCCACAGATGCTTCCTGATCTGCTGCAGCATTTTCTGATTTTACTACAAATTTCCAGCATCAATAGTGTTTTGCTCTTGTAGGCCTTTTCTACAGTTTGATCCCTGTCACCATTAGCCAATTTAGAGTTTAGTCTGGATCGGCTGCAGTGTAAATCTTCTATTTAACCCTTTCATTGTGCCTTAATTCAACCTGTGTTTTTTTTTTCCAGGAATAGGTACAATAGGTGGATTTTTGTCAGGGTCTGAGGGACATGGGCTACAGTGAAGTGTGTGGCAGAGATGAATGAGAAGCTTGGCGAGGCCCATCTTGACATTTGGGGAAAAAACTCACTTTATCATTTATGCTTTGTTCAAGGGGTGTGGTGAGTTTCTTGCAGTTTGCCAATTAAGGGAGATTATTCCTTGTTAATGGCACAATCCCCCAGTTTAATATTTATTTTATCAAGGCTAGATGTTGGAAAAACTCAACACGGAAACCTGGCAGAATCAGCTCCTCACTTGTTACCAATGACCTCCATGTTGCCTATGACCAAAGTGCAGTCTAGGGCATGATGCATACACAACAGATGCGCACACATTTTGCCCATGGGATATTAACACTCAGTATCTGCCACCCTGTCAATCCCATGACCATGCTGCCTCTCCAGTACATTGACAGTCCACTGTGGAAGTGCAGACTTGCAGTGGAAACCACACCAGTAACTAGCATTGAAAGGCTGCAGCTACATTATAGGAGTGCAGGTTGTGGTCATCGACAGTTGAGAGAACCTTGGTTAAAGGAGGGTGCTATGCATGACCACACCTTGCATGTTTACCTCATATGCCAGGGGCTAGGTGGGAAAGATAGGCAAGTGCCGGTGTTGGGTTGGGTAGGGACCTGGGGAGGTGCAAAGTATATTGAATTTAAAGGATGGGCTACTAAAAAAGGGATGTTCAGGGCTTATTGACATGTTAAGATGGAGTCTGGAAGCCACTGACAGAGGAATACTCACTGTCACCTTCCATCGTGCTGGGAATCAAAAGTGGGCAAAGGGGAAGAAAGTGGCTACACCCACACTTGGAGTGGATGGGGTAAATAACTTGAACAATGAGGGAAGTGGCTATCTGTGGCACCATGATAGAGACTTAAAAGGAAATAGCATTGCTCACAGATATAACAAGGTATAGAGCTGGATGAACACAGCAGGCCAAGCAGCATCAGAGGAGCAGGAAAGCTGACGTTTCAGGTCTAGACCCTTCTACTGTCTCTGTAACATTGCTCACAGGCTCATTTACTGCACATTATGCAGACCTGGATCATCCTTATTGCCTGGCCATCCTAATGCATTGCCTCCCATCCTCCATGTGTTGGACCTCAATGTCACTGAGACTGCTGGACAATTCATTGACAGCAACACTTTGCGCTCAGAGTCTATGAAACAATGGGGATATTACCTGAGAAGGGCTAAAGGTGCCAGGATGCCATATATACGCATTGTTCATCTTGCTTTCCTATAACACAGCAGGCTGTCAGCACATATCTCTGTCCGTGGCACTTCTTCTGTGGCCATGAGTGATGCCTGATGATGTAATAATATCATTTGGTCCTACACAGAGAGACTAACAACCAGATGTTTCATTAAAGCACAAGCATTTATATAAAAATTTACAAGCCATTGTTACTCATGCTGCGGAAGTGTGCTCAATAAGTTTTCTTCTTCCTCTTATGCAGACAATCACACTGCTACAGCTTCTGGGAAATAAGGGTAATTGCAACCCACTTAATTGTCTGTTGCTCCTTTTCCTCCCTGTGTACGTGGATCATGTGACTGATTGCCACCTCAGCGTCCCCTTTTGCCTGGGGCTGAGTAGGTGCCTGGTTTCTGGCAGTTCTCCAAGTGCCACTGGCCTGGAGAGTTCCTTCCTCAGCTAGCTACAGAGCTGTTGCAGTGAGGTGCTCACTAGATTGTGCTTCTATATTTTTGAAACCTAATGTTTCCACCAAGATGTCAGTATCGGATGGTGCAAGAGGGAGCGTTACTGATCCTTCATCTGAGACACTCGGTGTTTCCTTTGTACTTTCATACTCAGTGATCTAGGAAGTGGCTTCTGGTGGATCCAATATTTCTCCACGGAGGTCATGGAGGTGCTGGCTGTACCTGCAAAAAAAAAAGTGAGAAGGTGTCGAAGTCAGTGGTTAGAAATGGTATGCAATGGATGGAACTGACCAGAGGAGTTAATGTGAGAGATGCAGTGGGATGAAGAGAGGTAAAAACTGAAAGAACTGTGGATGCTGTAAATCAGGAACAATAACAAAGTTGCTGGAAAAGCTCAGCAGGTCTGGCAGCATCTGTGAAGAAAGAATCAGAGTTAACGTTATGGGTCCAGTGACCTTTCCTCAGAACTGGTACTTGCTCAGTTGGCAGGACGTGGATATCTGGGCATCCTCACTGGAGTGGTTCTGGTCTTCTCCTGCAAGGGCAAGGATTCTGTCCCCATAGGAAGTGAGGAGCCAAATTTTGATATTCAATTAACCCTTACAGCCTCCCTCTACTCTGTTATGGGCTATCTTTTCCTGAATGAGAGAGATTACAGTAGGTGACATGGCTGATAATGCTGGAGAGGTGGTGAGTTTTTCTGAGGGAATGAAGAGACTATGCAGCCGGCATAGTGGGTTACTGGTTTGGGAAATTAGTCAGAGTAAGAGCCAGTGAGAGAAAGTGCTTAGGCAATGGTGAGAGTGGCAGAGCATGTGACTTAATGGGAGGTGGGTACAGTATCAGAGATAGAATGAGTGTGAGGTAGCTGACAGAAGAATGTAGCACTTACCCTGGCATAGTGGAGAAGATCGTGAACCTTCTTTCAACAGTGCTGGTCATTCTTCTGCACCCTAAAAACCACTTGTGACCAGTGTCCATGTTTATGCCTGGTGTACAACATTGGAGGTCTTTTGGAGCATGCAGTGAGCTGAAGTATCCAAGTCTCGGGGACAATATGAAGCGAGAAATGCATTAAATAAACTTGTTAGCAAACAATAATCCCCCTTAATAGGCAACTCATCGCTACCTAGTGAGAATCTCACCTTGACACCCAGAATATAGTTAAAACATACGGTGAATTGTTCCCAATATCAAATAAGCATGGCTGGAGTCTTGTGCAATTTTGCCACAATTCTCACCACAACCCACATTGTCCAGCATCTTCTGTACTTTGCTTTTACCTAACTTCAGCATTCTGTCTTATAGCAAGCTTCCTGTTCATTCATTTGACCCTGGATTTTACATGTTGTCTTATAGTTACTACATTACCCTCATTTGTTCTTTCTGTTACTTCAAGTATTTAATTATTGAATTTCATGTAACCAAACTTTTTCCTTTTGAATGCTGCACTGCCTTTTGGTATAGGCTCAGTTTATTGATGCATTGCAGAAATTCATCAAGGCTCCTTTAACAGCAACTTCCAAAACCACAACCACTGCTATTTAGAAGGACAATGGCAGCAGAAACGTGGGAACACCATCTACCCACAAGTTCCCCTTCAAGCTAATCAGCATTCACCCCATGGAAATATATCACCGTTCCTTCAGTGTCACGAGTTCAAAGTCCTGAAACTCCCTCCCTAACAGTATTGTGCATATATCTACATCAGATGGACTGGAGCAGTTCAAGAAGGCAGCTCATTATCACCTTCTCAAAGACAATGAGGAATAGGCAATAAATGCTGGCATAGCCAGTGATGACCCCGTGAATTATTTTTTATTTATTTACATTTTGAGTAAAGATAACATTCACCAATTGCTTTATACTTCACAGGATTTGCTACACATGTATCAACACATGAACGTAAGAGTTAGGAGAGGGAGTGGGTCATTTGGTTCCACAAGCTGCCATTGCATATAATCGTTCCCAGACCTGATTATGGTCTCAACCCATTTTCCTGACTACCTATATACCCCTTTTCTCCCTTGCAGTTAAGAATCTATCTACCTCTGCCTTAAAAATATTCATTGTACTGCCCTCCACTGCTCGCTGGGAAATAGAATTCCACAGACTCATGAACCTCTAAGAAAAACATTTCTCCTCATTTTCATCTTAAGTGGGAAACCCTTTATTTTTGAACTGAGTTCCTATTTCTTGTGTCTTCTGCAAGGAGAGTCATCCTTTCAGCATATATCTTGTTGAGTTCCCTCAGAATCTTATTTTTTTGATAAGTATCTTGTTCAATCCCCCTTTTTAAACAAAGGAATTATAGTGGTTATCCACCAGTCTTCTGGTACTATTCCCTTTTCTCATGAATTTTTGTGTTTCAGTCATAGTACCTGTGCCAATTCCTCCCTAACTTTTAATACCCTTTGATTCAATTCAAGCAGATCAGGAATTTAATCCTCCAAGTTTGATTAATTTGCCAATTATCTTCCTGTTTCTACCTTATTCCTTTATGTCTTTGCTTGATTTTCAAATGTAACCCCCCCCCATCTTGTCATTCCTTCTGGTAATAAAGGCTGGACGTTATATTCCTACATTAGTGGGTTTGGAATTGGAGAGGCATGTTAATTTGAGGTGATGACCTTCTGAACAGCCCTGCCCTGAGTACAATTTTCCAGCCTAATTAAGTGCCACTTGCCCCCAGATTTATGCAGAAGAGCCTCATATCAAGCACATAAGCCTGCAGGTTTCCCTAGGCAGCAGGAAGTGGGTGGGGGACATTCCTAGTTGCATTGGGGGGCTCCCCTTAAGTGATTCTGCAACACCTCGCCTCTTGGTCTCTCAAACCCCCTCCTAACTTTCTATTTATTTAAATGAATGGGAATGCCATCTGATATTTACTATTTTCATTTCAGGTCATCACATCAAGGTTTCCGAAACTCAGACAGAAAATATTGAAAAATTAATGGACATTCCTATGGTTAATAATGTGTCTGATGCTTCCTACCCTACTTTTGAAAATATCACACAAATGAAAGAAAATGATAAAACTGTGAGATTCAAATTGAGTGATGGTAAGACAGAATGATTTTCTTTCAGAGAATATGTACTTTCAAGAAATGTAATTAATATTTAGATTGACTGGAATCAGTCAAAAATCTGTTGGGACCTGGATCCACAGAAGTATTGGCTTTAATTAAAATAAAAGCAAAGTTCTGTGAATGCTGGAGAAGTTCCAAAAGGAGTTATATTGAACTCAAAACGTTAACTGTTTCTCTCTCCACAATTGCTGTCAGACATGCTGGGTTTCGCTTGCACTTGCTGTTTTTATTTCAGATCTCCAGCATTTGCATACTTTGCTTTGCTTCCTAGTTTCAGGTTCAAGTTTTGTAGTAACATTGTAGCTGCTCCTCTCTGGAGTTAAATTTTTGTGGTGGCATGCCTATTGGAATTGAACTGTAGAACTCCTGGCAATTCAAAACTTGTGTCCCAACACTTGTACCAAAGTCATCAGAATATACTCATTGTTTAACACTTGCTTCCGATTGACCTATGCTGCACCGTGAGTGTACCTCCATCATGAGGACTTCAGTAGTTTGGTCTCTGGTCTGGTTCCTTATTTTCCTACCTGTACATGAGTACTAAAACCATAATACCTGACCTGAATAAGACACTCTTCCCTTCAAATTGGTTCAGTTTGGCACCTACTGATTGTAAACTCTCTGCAGAGATTTTCTTTCTCTGTGCAACTCAGTAACTCAAGTGTTCCTAAAATTATGTAGATATTACTAACATAATCTATCTCTGTACCTTCAGGTACTACTTGGAGGGTTACAATGCTGATTCTAGGTGCGATAATGTTGATGCTGGGACTAATTATACTGCCATTGAATGTCCTTTATAATAAGTAAGTGTAAAAACAGTAATGGTGAATGTTACTGAAAAAGCACCATTACAATTTTGCATAAATTGTTAGTTTGAAAAAGGAACAAATATCAAACATGTGTCAGTAGTTTGTTTGTGTCTGTGTTAACAATTGTCCAACATCTCAGACAAAGGTGATGCCATCTAACTCTAATTATTGTTGTTGAACCTCAGTACCAACAAACATAATAGGAAATTTGAGCTTACCCTTTGATGTAGCCATGCCTTAAAACAAAAATGTTGGCTATATGGTTGAGAGCCTAAATTTATAAATAATGTATCTATGCACAATTAAAATGAGTGTAAATTGTAGAAAATGAAGGCAATTAAGACAGGTCTTAATTATGTACTATAGATTGTTATCTAATAAATGAACTAAAGACAGAAAGTGATGGAAATCCTGTGCAGATTTGATGTATGTGGTGAGACAGCATCAGTGGGGAGAGAAACAGAGTTAATGTTTCTGGTCTTTGGCCATTTATGAGAGGCATAGAGTCATAGAATCATACAGCACGGAAACAGATCCTTCAATCCAACTTGTCCATGTCAACCAAGTTTCCCAAACTGAAGTTCCATTTACCTGCTTTTGGACCATATCCCTCTAAATCTTTCCTTTTCATGTACCTGTCCAAATGTCTTTTAAATGTTGTAACTCTACCTGTATCCATCAATTCGTCTGGCAACTCATTCCATACATTCAACACCCTCTGCATCAAAAAGTTGCCCCTCAGGTGCCTTTTAAATCTTTCTCCTCTCACCTTAAAGTTAGTTTTGAACACCCCTACCCTAGGGAAAAGGCATTTGGCTATTCGCCTTACCTATGCCCGTCATGATTTTATAAACCTTTATAAGGTCAGTGAAAAGGACTATAATTTGAGTACTTTTTAAAGATACTTTTTATTCTTATTCTGGACTTTGAGTAATTTGAGTACTTTTTAAAACTTTGTATTCCTATGCTAAACTTTTTAAAAAAACTCTTTCAATTCTGTAACGAATACTTAAAGTATCTGTACCTAGGTACCCTGTACCTAAGATGGCGCCAAAGCAGTGACATTACAAACTTTTCGCTGCACTCATTTGAGTGCACATGACAATGAAGGCTATTCTATTCTATTCTAAAAGATCATCCCTCAACCTCCTACACTCCAAATTAAAATGTCCAAGCCTATCCAGTCTCTTCCTACAACTTAAACCATCCACTCCCAGTAACATCTTTGTAAATCTTCACTGCACCCTTTTTTAATTTAATTATATCCTTCCTATATCAGGACAACCAGAACTATACATAGTATGTCAAAAGTGGCCTCACCAATGTCCTGTACAACCACAACATGATGTCCCAACTCCTACACTTAGTGGAATCTGAGCAAAGAAGGCAAGCGTGCTAAACGCCTTCTTTACCACCCTTTCTACCTGTGATGGTTATGCTAAATGGCATTGATCTGAATGGCATTGTTTTCTTTCTGCGCAGGTGCTGCCAGGGCTGTTGAGTGAATGCTTCCAGTAGTTTTGGTTTTATTTAGAATTTTCATTACATCATGAACAATCCTGCACAGCTCATTCCATCTTGCAGATGTCTATTATTTAGCTGATGAAGAAATGCTAAGACTGAGTATAACTGCTGTTGGAAGGTGTTACCTACTAGGTTACAATGGGGTCAAGTATTCAAGTCAATGTTTAATCCATGTCATGATATCCTACTGATGCTCCATATTTCCAGGTAGTATAGCCACCATTAGGTAAAGAATGGTGTATCCAGGCTCTAATTGCTGTGGGGCAATTTTACAAGGCAGATATTCTGGACCTATGTCATTGGTGGGCACAGTCTGAAATATCAGGGTTACAAAATTTTTGCAGCTCAGCCTAATCACTGGTAGAGAAAAAAGGTCCCATCTTAGGAGTAGAACTTTGCAAATTAGTTTTAACATTTACACTCAAAAACAAGATTGAACTGTGAAATTCTGTTCCTTGAGAAATTCCAGTAAAAGCAGATTAAAAGATATAATTCGTCCAGTGCCCTGGCCAATTATAATCCCTCAAACAACATCACTAAATGAGCTTCAGCCACTTCTTTTATTGCTGTTTCTGGGATTTTGCTACGTGCGTAATTAACTGCTGTTTTTCCTGTGACATTGATTACATTTCCAAAAAAAAAGCTTTTGAAAACTAAATTTTGTTTATGTGAGTTTTTGGTACTGAGCAACATAGACAAGAAAATGACCTTGGGCATTTTGATTTCAGTTTTGAAGATATGGTAGATATGGCATAACACTGTAACTGAATTTTAGCACCCCTTGATTTTGCACTTCTGGTGGAGTGCCTCAGCCTCAAGAGTGCACAAATTATACTGCATTGTGGCATTTGACATTCCGCTTATATGTGCATTGAAACTGACAGAAGAATTGTACATATAGGATTTTCTGATTTAGGTATTTACCATTTCAGTTGAGAGTGCATATCAGGATACAGGCTGTGCTCCACATGAATTTTCTGTTTAACCTTGGATGAAACTTCATAAGAATGCACAGCCAAACTTTTCATATACCTCACACCCCATCATAAAATTTACACAAGGAGTGCCGATTTATAAACTTACTGGAAATTTCCACTTTCTAGCACCAACACTTGTAGAACCTTCCAGATCTGAAAGCTTATTCTAATGCTACAGGATAGATTTCAGCACTTAATGCATTTAGCATAAAGGACCAATTCATTTCTATGCTAATCACCCCAGCTCAGGCTTGGAAATCCTCCAATGACACAAAATAAAAGTCTGAACTTCACAAGCAGAAGAGAATTGATGGAGAGTGCAAGGAAGTGGCTCAATCACAGTCTGCCAAGCTCTGCGGGAGAACATGTGACTCTGTGTAGGGATGTTTCCACATCCTGTAGCATTATGTACTCATACAGAATATATATTCTCCTTGCATACTTTTTATTCTGAGCCACAAGAAAGCATTCTGTCCGACTGTGAGGGTAGTAAACAAAATCAAAAAGTGGTCAATGTTCGTTGGTAAGTTAATTAATACACCAACTCAAAATGAAGTGGAAAGGATTTTAAGAATTGGAAAATAAAGGGTTACCCTGAATTATATCATTCTTTCATCTCTTATTCTTATGTAGCTGAAAAATCACTTCAGATTTACTTTTTGGTACTTTCATTTTCTTTATTAAACTAAATTTACTGTTGAAAGTTCATGTTTAGTTAACTGTGAGTTTGTCAAATTGAGCAACACAGACAAGAAATATTCCAGGGTCATTTTAATCCTGTCTGCCCAACAGAAACTAATTAATAGGGCACTAAAAATAGCTACAGAATCTCCTTGTCCACCATTCACTGGGTCCTCCGCCTTCTATGGGTTGCTCTTTTAAACTAAGATCAGAAAGTAATTTGGAACAGGGACTTAAATATGTAATTTCCAAGAAGGTATGTGACTTCGAGTTAAGTGTTTGGTTAGACACCTGTACTATGAACTGGTTGAATGTGTATACTGAAAAGTTTAAGTGTTCCACCTGTTTGAATGGAAACAAGGTTTAGGCTATCAGAAATGAAAACATTCATCCTAGCAGACAAGGAAAGGAGTTGTAAAACTGACTCAGCTGTCCAAGGAAAGGAACTGGGAAGACTGTTAAGCAACAGGCTTGGAATTCTGTGGCGAGTAACTCAGTTCCTGACTACCCAAAACATATGCACCATGTACAAGACACAACTCAGAAGAATGATGGAAAGCTCTCCACTTATGCAAATGAGTGCAACTCCAGCAACACTCAAGCTTGACACCATCCAGGGTAAAACAGTCCACTTGATTCTGAGCCAATTCACCACCTTCAGCATTGGCACATATACAGCAGTGTACCACCTATCAGATGCCCTACAAAAACTCACCAAGACTCTTCAACAGCACCTTCCAAACCCACAACTCCTACCACTTCGAAATACAAGGGTAGCATATACATGGGAACATCTGCAAGTTTCTCTCCTAGCCACACACCATCCTGACTTATAGATATATTCCCATTCCTTCACTATTGCTGGGTCAAAATTCTGGAACTCTCTTCCTAACAACACTGATGTCCCTTCACCACAAGGTTCAAGAAGGCAGCTTACCACTGCTTTCTCCAGGGCAATTAGGAATGGGTAATAAATACTGGTCAAGCCAGCTATGTGCCAATACCATGAACAAATGAAAAAAGGTCTTACCAACTGTTAATGTAGTTAACCAGTTTTAAGGTAATGTAACCAATAAACTTTCTATTATGTAATAGAATAGTTCTTGGGTGGAATCTTCCCAGCCCTTGAGTGACATGTGCAATGGCGTGTCAGTTGGGAAATATTGAGAGATTGGAAAAATGACATTCTCAATGTCAAGAAAAAAAGTCCAATTTTCCATCAAAGGATATAATGCCAAGATGAGAAACTCACAAGTGAGCTGCAAGAGACCTATTTGCATGTATTTATATCTAATTCTTATCTATTCTCACCCCATTTGTTTGAATGATGCTATATTCCAAGGCATCAGAGAGGAACAATATGGAAATAAATCTTGACATGGAAGTCTGAGTGGGTACCAGGTGGCTCCAGCTCGCCACTTGCTCCTCTGGATCCAGTTCAGGATTCCCCAGCATCTCATGGCATACTCCAAGGGCAGCGACAACCTGCATCCTTTGTCCACGGAGATTTTCATAGGACGTTTACCTGCCTCACCACATGCTCATGGCAAAGTCTGAGAGGAGCAGGCCTCAGTCAAGCCAAAGGTGACTTGTCAGTCAGAGGGTACTGGCATAATAAGTCAAGGGCATCATCTGCATCTCAGACCAGGGGCTTGGACATGTGGGCTCTGAGGCCAATCAGTTCAGGCCATGGTCAATTCTGCAGGTCCAGTACAACCAGTTTGGGGATTAGCAATAAGTAAGTCAGCGACTCATCCTATTGTTCAGCCTAGGGGTCCTTTCACTGAAATTCAAGTCATCGTGAGTCAGTGCTGTGGTAGGGATGCAGGGGAGGTTTTTGCTGGGTGAAAGTATCAATGGATAAGGAGTAAATAAAATTAACCATGACCTTTATTGAATGTTGGAGCAAGCACGAAGGATTGGATGTCTTACTCTTGTTTCTCTGTTCCCATGACACTACTTAAAAAAAAACAAAGTTAGTGCAGCACAAAAAGATTAAGGAAGTAAGTGCTCTGTGAACATTGTGTGAGAGTGAGGAATTCAGTGAAAGTGGGAATTCAATGCAGAGGGGTGAAGAGGTGATGCATTTTATTCTTTTTGTTTTACCTCCACTTGTTTGTGTCTGTCTTTTGTCTCAAAGCTAGGAGACTGTAACTTGATTTTTGCTTTACTTTACCAAATTAGTATCTCATTAACTTTTAAAACAAATAAGAAGTTGCAGGGCAGGACATTGCATGCGGTAACTGCAACATGTGGGATTTTATTGAGACTATCGTCAACACAGATAACCATACCTGGGATCAGTGTCTGCAGCTCCTGCAGCTTCAGCTCAGAGTTGTTGAGCTGTTGACAGTGAAGGGCTGCTAGGAGTGGGAGAATTACCTGGAAACTTTATTCAAGAATGCAGTCACAACCCTGAGGGTAACTAGAACTTTAGAGTTGTTCAATAGTCAGGGATAGGAAGGTGCAATTATCAGGCAGATATAGGGATCCAGGACGTAATGTTGGAGGAGACTTAACCCTTGGAATTGAACAACAGATATGATGTACTTGTTACCAGTGTGGATAAGAACAATGACTGTAGGACGATCAGACAAACTGACGAGAGTACCTTGACGCAGGAAGGCATTTAAGTGGGGGAAGTGGAATGGAATGTCATCGTGATAGGGAGCAGTGTAGTCAGCAGGGTAGATGCTGTCCTCTGCAACTGTAATCAGGTGTTCAGAAGGTGGTGTTGCCTTCCTAATGCTGGGATTAAGGATACCTCTTTGCATTTGGAGACAAATTTGGAATTGTGGGGAAGCAATGGCCTAGTGGTATTATTGCCAGGACTATTAATCCAAAACCTCAGCTCATGTTCTGGGGACCTGGGTTCAAATCTCGCCATGGCAGATGGTGGAATTTGAAATCAAGAATCTACTGATGACCATGAATCCATCATCGATTGTTGGGAAAGACCCAACTGGTTCACTAATATCCTTCAGGGAAGGAAATCTGCCATCATCACCTGGTCTGGCCTACATGTGACAACAGAACCACAACAATGTGGTTGACTCTTAACTGTCCTCTGGGCAATTAGAGATGGGCAATAAATGCCAGCCTAGCCAGCGACACCCTCATCCCATGAATGAATAAAACAATTGGAGAGGGAGTTGTTTTGTCCAAATAGAAATTAACAAAATAGGTAGATCTAGAAATAATATTGTACTGAGAGTTTGAGGCGTTAGAATTCTAACTTGAGCCATACACCAGTTGACATAGGGTCAAACATATTATACAACAGGATGAGGCATTCCACTCCCGTACATCTCAGATGTCCTCGTTTTTCAAGGACCGCAATTTCCCCCACCTCAATGGTCGAGAACGCCCTCGACTGTGTTTCCCGCAACTCATCCCTCACACCCCCTCCCCGCAATAACAACCAAAACAGAATCCCCCTCATCCTCACGTACCACCCCACCAACCTCCGGATCCAACGCATCATCCTCCGACACTTCCGCCATCTGCAATCCGACCCCACCACCAAAGACATATTTCCCTCCCCACCTTTATCTGCTTTCTGGAGGGACTGCTCTCTCCGGGACTCCCTTGTCCGCTCCACACTCCCCTCCAGCCCCACCATACCCGGCACTTTTCCCTGCAACTGCAGGAAGTGCTACACCTGCCCCTACACCTCCCCCCTCACCCCCATCCCAGGCCCCAAGAAGACTTTCCACATCAAGCTGATGTTCACCTGCACCTCTGCTAATGTGGTATACTGTATCCGCTGTTCCCGTTGTGGCCTCCTCTATATCGGGGAAACCAAGCGGAGGCTTGGGGACCGCTTTACAGAACACCTACGTTCGGTTCGCACTAAACAACTGCACCTCCCAGTCGCAAACCATTTCAACTCCCCCTCCCATTCCTCAGACGACATGTCCATCCTGGGCCTCCTGCAGTGCCACAACGATGCCACCTGAAGGTTGCAGGAACAGCACCTCATATTCCGTTTGGGAACCCTGCAGCCCAATGGTATCAACGTGGACTTCACAAGCTTCAAAATCTCCCCTCCCCCTACCGCATCCCAAAACCAGCCCAGCACATCCCCGCCTCCCTAACCTGTCCTTCCTCCCACCTATCCCCTCCTCCCACCTCAAGCCCCACCCCCATCTCCTACCTACTAACTTCATCCCGCCCCCTTGACCTGTCCGTCCTCCCTGGACTGACCTATCTCCTCCCTAACTCCCCACCTACAATCCTTTACTGGCTCCATCCCTGCCTCTTTGACCTGTCTGTCTCCTCTCCATCTATCTTCTCCTCTATCCATCTTCTATCCGCCTCCCCCTCTCTCCCTATTTATTTCAGAATCCCCTTCCCCTCCCCCATTTCTGAAGAAGGGTCTAGGCCCGAAATAATCAAGAGGCCCGTAAGAATGAGCAGGGAGAAAGATATTGGAGAAACTTGGGCTGAAGGCTGACAGATCTTCAGGACTTAATGGCCTCCATGCTGGGGTTCCAAAAGCGGCCACTGCAGAGATAATACATGCAGTGGTATTATTTACCAAAATTCCTCAACTTCTAGCATAGTCCCAGTCAAGTGGAAGTTAGCACGTTGAATCCTGATATTCAAAAAAGGAGGAGAGGGGAATAAAGGTCAGTTAGGCTGATATCAATCAGGTAAAAATTCTGGAATATTTTTAAGGAAGTCTTAATAAATAATGATTTTCAAACATTGGATAGCATCAACGTGATTTCACAGGAGAAAAATTATGCTTGACTTGTTTGATTGAACTTCTGAGAAGGTGACTAATAGGATTGATAAAAGAGATCCTGTAGATTAAGCACAGTTGGAATTTCTGAAAGGCACTGAATAAATTCTGCACTAAAAGTTAATATACCCGATAAGAGAATACATTTGCATGTTTGGAGGATTGATTTTCATTTTCAAATTGACAAGCTGTGAATGGTGATGTTCAATAAGGATCATTGCTGGAGCCTCAGCTATTTGTAACATGTATCTCATGACTGAGAAAGATTGAGAGTAATGCATCTAAGCTTGATGACTGTACAAATCGAGATGGAATAAGCTGTGAGGAAGATACAAAGAGATACAGACATGTTTTGGTGAGCAACAGGTAGCAGACAGATATAGAATATGCTATAGGTAAATGTGAGGTTACTCACTTTGGAAGTAAGAATAGGAAGATGGTATATTTTTTAAAAGGCATGAAATCTGTAAATGTTGACGCTTGTAGAGACTTAGGTCTTGTACTTGTACAAAGAGCACCAAAATAAAAATTCTGAAAGGAGTGAAGAATGCAAATTACACATTGGCCCAGATTGCAAGGGTAGTGGAATAAAGAATAAGGAAGTCTTGCTATAGTACTGTAGGATTTTGAAGAGAGCATATTACTGAATACTCTGTTTTGGAATCCATGTTTAAGGAAAGATATAATTACATTGCAAGTATAGATTCACCAGAGTGGTTCCAAGGATGAGAGAATTGCCCTGTGATGGAAGACTGAATAAATTGGGTTTATATTCTGAGTTTAGATGAATGAGAGGTGATTTTGTTGAAACATATAAGATTCTGAAGAGGCTTAAAAGAGAAATCACTGAGATTTCTTCTCTGGCTGGTGAATCCAGAGCATGGGAGCATAGTCTCAGGATAAGTACTGAATTGAGAGGAAATGTTGTGACTCAGGGTTCTGAGTTCTCTAGTCCAGAGGGTTGTGAATGGTCTATCATTGAGTATATATAAGGTCAATTAAGGCCATCTCAAGACAAGTATTTGGTATCAGGGAATGTGAGAAATGGGGAGGGGTGTGGGCATTTGAAGTTGAAGCTGAAGATCAGCCCTGATCGTAGGCAATAGTAGAACAAGCTCAAGTGGCCCTACGGTTCCTGCACCGATATTCTTCTTCCAAAGTGTCAGTCAACAATCTTGATGAAGGAAAATACCATAGAAAATAACCTTTGTTTTATCATCTAGCAGCTATTTTCACTTATTTTTCACTGCCACAAAATGGTATTTTATTGATTGCAATTATTATGGTAGAGTCATAGAGTTGTACAGCACAGAAACAGACCCTTCGGTCCAACTCATCCATGCTGACCAGATATCCTAAATTAATCTAGTCCCATTTGCCAGTCTTTGGCCCATATCCCTCTAAACCCTTCTTATCATATACCCATCCAGATGTTTTCCAAATGTTCTGATTGTACCAGTCCCCACCACTTCCTCTGGTAGCTCGTTCCATACACACATCATCTTCTGCGTGAAAAAGTTGCCCCTTAGGTCCCCTCTCACCTTAAACCTATGCCCTCTAGTTTTGGACTCCCCCACACCAAGGAAAAGACATTGGCTATTCAACCTATCTAATGCCCATCATGATTTTATAAACCTCCATAAGTGGTTAACAAATTTTAAATATTAGAAGCAGAGTAATCTGCTTTCACTCTTAATTACTTTAATTGTAGATGTTGAGTGGTGAAAATTTACCTTATTAACGCTGGAAACTGTTCCATTCTTCTTCTCAATAGTCGAAAGAAGAAATCACGTGCTGAAATTGGTGCTGAGTCAGCTGATGAGAAAACCTCCTTAACAACAGGATTGAAACTGCAGCATGATGCTTCTCGCTCCCCATCTTTAAGACATGGAGAAATACTGATTGAATGGAAAGATGGCAAGATAACACCTCTTTTCGATGACAATTAAGATGCCAACTGTTAGAGTCTTAGGGATTGGACCAGACCTGCCAACACTGGGGAAGTCCAGCCTCATTCTAAAGTATTTATATTGCGTGCAAATAGGTTGAGTACTACAGAAGGAGACCATTATTTCATTCATGGATAGGTGGGTGCGAAAGAAACCTCTTCTGGAAGTCAGTCCATCATTCCTGGAGATTTGACTGTTTCAGTTCTTTGAAAAGTAACCCTGTGAGTGGCCTCAGACCTAAGGTGTTGCATTTCGCAAAACAGTTTTCATTTGTTGGGAAGGAATATGTTGTGGAACAGTCTTTTGAAATCTGAAGTATAGAAATCTGAATTATAGCAGGAAGAAGGCTATTTGGCCCTTCGAGCCTACTCCCCTATTCAGTAGGTTCACAGCTGATCCTCCATCTCAATGCTATATTCCTGCTTTCTCCGCATTCTCCTGATGCCTTGAAAATCTAAAAATATATCTATCTCTTTCTCGAATATATTCATTGACTTTGTCTTTTCAGCCTTCTCTGATAGTGAATTCCATAGGTTCCCTACACTTTGAATGAAGAAATTTTTCCTCATCTCACCTTAAATGGTCTATCCTGTGTACTGAGACTGTGTCCCCTGTTTTAAACTCTCCAACTAGGAAAAACATCCTCCCTGCATCTAATCTGTACAGTTCTGTTAGGATTTATGCATTTCAATCAGATCCCCTCTCATCCTTCTAAACTCTGTAGAATACAGGCCCAGTTGAACCAATCTCTCCTCGTAGGACAGTCCTGCAATCCCTGGTATTAGCCTAGTGAACTTCCATTGTACTCCCTGTATGGCAAATATATCCTTTCTTAGGTAGGGTGTCAAAACTGCATGCAACACTTGAGGTGTGATCTCACCGAGGCCCTGTATAGTTGCTGTCAGACTTATCCATTCTGAACTCAAATCCTCTTGCATTGAAGGCCAACATACCATTTGCCTTCCTAATTGCTTCCTGCACCTGCCTGTATATTTTTTATTGACTTGTGTATAAGGATACCTAGATCCCTTTGTACATTCACACTTCCCAATATATCAACATTTAAATAATACTCCTCCCACCAACATATAACTTCACATTTGGTCACATTATGTGCATCTGCCATATGTTTGCCCACATCTTCTAAATCACACGGAAGCCTCCACTCCACAACTCATAATTCCATCTAGTTTTGTGTCATCATTAAACTTGGAAATCTTAAATTTCTTTTATCCACATTATTTACTTACTTTATGAATAGCTGGGGCCCCAGCACTGATCCTTGTGGTACAGTGTTAATCATTGCCTGCCACTCAGGGGTAAAAAAACAATTTATTTCTATTCTCAGTTTCCTATCTGTCAAACAATTCTTGATTCATGCTAAAATGTTATCCCCATCCCATCTGCTTTGGCTTTGCCCTCTGACCTCTTATGAGGAATCTTATCAAAAGCCTTCTGAAAATCCAAATACACCACATCTTTGGTTCTCTCATATTTATTCAACTAGTTACATCCTCAAAGAACAAAAGAACAAAGAAATTTACAGCACAAGAACAGGCCCTTTGGCCCTCCAAGCCTGCACTGATCCAGATCCCCTATTTAAACCTGTTGCCTATTTTCCAAGGATCTGTATCCCTCTGCTCCCTGCCCATTCATGTATCTGTCTAGATACATCTTAAATGATGTTATCGTGCCCACCTGTACCACCTCCGCTGGCAATGCATTCCAGGCACCCACCACCCTCTGCGTAAAGAACTTTTCAAGCATATCTCCCTTAAACTTTTCCCCTCTCACCTTGAAAACGTGATCCTTAGTAATTGAGTCCCCGACTCTGGGAAAAAGTTTTTTGCTATCCACCCTGTCTATACCTCTCATGATTTTGTAGACCTCAATCAGGTCCCCCCTCAACCTCCGTCTTTCTAATGTAAATAATCCTAATCTACTCAACCTCTCTTCATAGCTAGCACCCTCCATACCAGGCAACATCCTGGTGAACCTCCTCTGCACCCTCTCCAAAGCATCCACATCCTTTTGGTAATGTGGTGACCAGAACTGTACGCAGTATTCCAAATGTGGTCGAACCAAAGTCCTATACAACTGTAACATGACCTGCTAACTCTTGTACTCAATACCCTGTCCGATGAATGAAAGCATGCCGTATGCCTTCTTGACCACTCTATTGACCTGCGTTGCCACCTTCAGGGTACAATGGACCTGAACACCTGGATCTCTCAGTGCATCAATTTTCCCCACGGCTTTTTCATTTACTGTATATTCGCTCTTGAATTGGATCTTCCAAAATGCATCACCTCGCATTTGCCTGGATTGAACTCCATCTGCCATTTCTCCGCCCAACTCTCCAATCTGTCTATATTCTGCTGCATTCTCCGACAGCCCCCTTCACTATCTGCTACTCCATCTTAGTGTCATCTACAAACTTGCTGATCAGACCATCTATACCTTCTTCCAGATCATTTATGTATATCACAAAATATTATGTATGTCCTCAAAAAATCTCTAGTCATTTTGTTAAGCATAAATTGCCCTTTATAAACTATGTTGGCTTTGTCCAGCCCTGTTGAGGCTTTCCAAATTTCTGTTGTCACAACTTTCATAAAATATTAACATTTTCCCAATACTGGCATTAGGTTCATTGTCTGTAATTCTTTGTTTATTTCCTTCAATCCCTTTTTAAACAGTGGGGTTACATTTGCCACCCTCCAATCTGGAGGAACTTTGGAAGATGATCACCAATATTTAATATTGGTGCATCTAATATTTCCAGGATCACCTCTTTTAGTATTCTGGGCTGGAGATTATCAGGTGACCTATCAGTCTTTAACCCCATTAATTTTTCCCGCACCATTTTCTTACTAATGCTGATTTCTTTTAATTCTATATTTGTCATTAGTAATCTTTTACGCTTATGATATTTATAGAAGTTTTAATGATCAGTTTCTTTGTTCCCTCCAATTTTACTCTCAGACTTTATTTCTCCCCTCTTGATTAAACTTCTTGTCCTCTTTTGCTAAATTCTAAAATGCTCCTAATTGTCACGTTTACCACTTTTCCTGGCAATTTTATATGTCTCCTCTTTGGATCAAATACTGTCCCTAAGTTATTTTGTAAACTGTGGTTAATCCATCTGTTAGAGATAGTAGGAACTGCCGATGCTGGAGAATCTGAGATAACAAGGTGTAGAGCTGGATGAACACAGCAGGCCACCTCAGGAGAGCAGGAAAGCTGACGTTTCGGGCCTAGACCCTTCTTCAGAATTGGGGGAGGGGAAGGGGATTCTGAAATAAATAGGGAGAGATGGGGAGGCAGATAGAAGATGGATAAAGGAGAAGATAGGTGGAGAGGAGACAGACAGGTTTTCCTCTTTTATTTTGTGCCAGGGAGGATTGAATAATTGTTGTAACTATTGCTCATGTTCTTTAAATATGAATCATGCCTAACTACTGTTAACTCCTTTAGTAAGGCTCCCCAGTCTGACATTGCCAATTCATACATATTATCCTCATAGTTCCTTTTGTTTAGATTTAGGACCTTAACTTTTGGATTTGACTACTTCACTCTCCATCTTATTGAAGTATTCTATCATATTGTGGTCACTGTTTCCCAAGGGACTCTGCACAATAATGTTTGTATTTAATCCTTTCTCATTGCTCAGTGTCCCAGAATAACTTGTTATCTGATTTATTTCTCAACGTATTTTGGTCTTAAAAACCCAGCAGGTATGCACTCTCGGAACAACTCCTCCACAGTCCCATTGAAAGTTGGTTTGTCCTTTCTGTATGTAAATTGATTGATTGCATACATTTTATTTTCCTTTACTAACAATGTTATCTCACCTTTCCCTTTTTGTCTGTCCTTCCTAAAATAAGAATACCCCTGGATATTCAGTTTCCATCCTTGGTAATCCTGCAGCCGTGGATCTGTGATTGCAACTATTATCATAAGTATTTATATATTTTTGCACTGCTAATCCATCAACCTATTGCAAATGCTCTGTGCAGTAAGGTACAAAGATTTTAGACTTGTCTTTTTAACCTTGTTAGTCATCTTAGATCTATTTTGCAATATTGAGCCATTTGTTTTCTGTCCTTGTCTTTTCTGTCTTTCACATTTATTTCTGTACTTGTTTCTCCCTCCTCTGACTTGCGGCTCCACTTCCCATTCCCCTGCCATCCTTGTTTAAACCATATCTGACAGCACTAGCAAACACGGTCCCCAAGAATATTGGTCCTGGTCCTGTCCAGATGCAACCCATCCACCTTCCCCAGAACTGGCCCCAGTGTCCCAGGAATCTGAATCCCTTACCACTGAACCATCTTTCCAGCCATGTATTCATCTGATATATCCTGGTGTATTACTTTCACTCTCGCTAGAACATGGCACTGCTAGTGTTTCCGAGATTATCTTTAAGGTCTGACTTTTTAAATTTAAGTCCTAGCTCCCTACATTATGATTGTAGAACCTCATGATTTTATTTTTCCAATAAGTACCACAACCACTGGCTCTTAAAAATGCCCTGCGACCTACTCAGAGCCAGCCTCAACCCTGGCACCAGGAAGGCAACATTCCTTCCTGGAATCTCTTTTGCAGTCTGTCTGTTCTCTTAACTATTGCATTCCCTGTCACTGTAGCCCTGCTTTGTTCTTTCTCCACTCTGCATCACAGCTACCCATATTGACATGGACTTGGCTTCAATCTGCTGCAATCCCCTAAGAAGATTCCCCTTCCAGCAGTATGCAAGATGGTATATCAGTTAGAGAGGGGACGGTCACAGGTGTGTCCTGCACAACTTGCCTTCCTTTACTCTGCCTGATGGTCACCTATTCCCTTTCTGTTTGTTCCACTGCCATCCACGACAATCTCAGCATCACGGATATTCCCCAGTGAGTCTACCTGCTGCTCCACCTCTGAAATGCAGTTACCTATTAGCTGCAGCTAGACACAGCTCCCACACATGTAGTCTGCCAGGAGCACTGGAAGTGATTATGACTTCCCATATAGAGCACGTGTAGTGTAAAACAGGTGTGAGCTCTGCTGCCATGACTTCCCTTTTAGATTAAGCTTGTTATTTACTCATGTTAAAGGGTATTAATTATGTTAGGGTCTTCAAACATCACTTTAAACATTCCTACTGTGAAAAGTCCTTGCCTTAAGTCTTTGGAAACCTTACTTTTAGTCTTAATTTTACTTCTGTTATGTTACTTTTATTACTTATATTGGCCCAGTTAAATCCAGATAAAGCTACTTATTTATCCATACTTTTCTAATTTACAGTGATTTGTTAACAATCTCTAAAAACAGTTTCTTACCAACCAATAAACTTAAGGTTTTCCTGTAATGTTACTCTGTTTTCTTATCCCCTTGTTTTGAGCTCAGCACCAGCTACTCCTAGCATGTATTGCTGCTTCTGTGACTCCCAAAGAAGTGGTGTAGGCACAAGCCTCAGCTGGGATTTATATCTTCCCACTCCATGCTGCTCCCTCACATGTCTCACTGCCTCTCTATTGCCTCAGGTAACCTTCCAAATATTCAATACTATGGCCAGTCAGCAGATAGATTTTCTGTGATGTCACACATTATTTTTCTCAACAAGGAAAGACTGTGGGACACGCTTCCCAGCAAACAGTCAAAGACTGGAACCATTTTCACAGTTTGGTCCTTAATAACATGCTTTGGTGAGCTGTTTGCACTTTCAGAGCAGACTGTTCAATGGAAGGCATTGGAATTCTACAGTTCCACTCCAGAGTGCAGCATGTGCAAGTGCTTAAGACTAAGGGGTAACAGTGATCTTGGGGAAATGGGAAATGTGAGAGTTAATTTTTGAATAGCTGGAAGGAGCCTCACATAAATCATTTTATAGAATCAGAAATGCTCGTAGCAGGGGAGAAGGCTATTTAGCCCATCATGTTCTTTGAAAGAGATGTCAGTCTAAGTCCAACACCCCTACTTTTTGTCCATAATTTGACAACCTCAAGTGCATAAATGGAATTAATGGAACCAGTTCCCATCATTTTTTCAGGTTTAACGCTTGAGATCCCAGAAATCATTGCATCAGCTTTTTATTTTGAGCAACCTGCAACAATCCTAGTTAGTCCTAACAATCCTAACTAGTCAGGGCTACTCAGCATAAAGTACCAGTGGGTGGAGTGCACATGCTTTGTTGGTTGATGGCTCAAAATTGCATCAGGGTAATATTGATGCCATGGGATTACATTTTTCCCGGTCTAAGAAAGCTCCCATCAGCTTTCTGTCTGCACCAAAATTGCAGAGATCTCGATGTCGGTAGGAATGGAGCAGTAATTTTGGCATTGCTGTTTTGTTCTTACTAATGTCCTATTACTGTCTGGTGTTGGGGCAATGGTGAAGATTGGCCTCTGTATTAGTGAAACCACAAAGAATAAGTCATACTTTAAAATAAAGTACAATCCTCTCCCCTTACTGCCACAACAAATTGCTCAGTGCATTTACAGTATCTGAGCCACATGGACCACAAAGATCCAAAGTTCAATTAGTTGATATGAGTCAGTTAGCGGCAATTGCTTATACTGTCCCTGGGTTAGTGGGGAGAAGGTTGT